TTTCTTGCCGATGAACCTCTTTAACTTTTTTTTTTATTCGTGTAACAATTGTGTTAAATCATTACACTAAAATTTTAAATATTCTATACTAAAATTTTTGCACTTTACACAATGACGGAAATTTTTTTACTGTATACATACACTAATGAAAAAATATTTAATTAATTAAAAATTTTTTCATCTTTATTTAAGACAATGAAACAATACTTCAAAATAGTTTTAGTTTAAGAGTTTCTCTTCAATTTTTTTTATTAGTATAAAAATTAAGTTACTGAGCGTAAATATTTTTTTAGATTAAAAATTACCTATATAATTTTTTTAAATAATATTTTACTATTTTATTCTTTTTTTCAACCTTATTAATCCTTTTTTTTTCTTCCGTATTTTTCAAATATTAATTTTTTTTCCATCATGCGATTTTTATAAAATTTTACCTTACAATAAATATCTAAAAAACTTTTCCAATCTTTATTTTATTATGCTCATTTTTCATTGATTTTTGTGACGTATAGCCAAAAGTGCGATCTATTAATCAAAAAAGACATGATTTATGACTTAAATTTCCAAACTTCTATATTAAACCTAAATTCTGGTAATGTAGTAAAGAATATTACATAAATTTGACTCATGACAAATGTATAAACGTAAGAAAGAGCGGAGTAATAGTTGTCCCAGTAGAGTAGTAAAAATGAAGCTACATTAGGTTATAACAATAACTTACATACCATTTGTAGCAGTACCACTTTTAGCTTGAGCAATCGCACTGTTTGACGATTATTACATGCTTGAAGAGCTTTATCCGTTTTTTGCGAAATAAAAAGAATGAAGACATAATTGTGAAAAAATTTCAATTGAAAAAAATAAAAAAAACTCAATTTAATAAAAGAAAATTTCTACAGTCCATAAAATTATAAAAATACGTTGTTGAAACTCGAAACTTTTTACCAAAAAAACTTGTCGCGAGCAGTAAAAATAAAATATACTGTGCTAACGTATAAAGTAACTTTTCAAGAGACAATGATTTTATAGATGATAGTAATGTACACTCAATTTACCGGGCAATATCTAAGTTATTCGATCTCCAGCCCCTACATTCTCTATCTCCTGAGACGTGACCACGGCGGAAGTAAAATAAAGATCTCGTTCCAAAAAGTTAAGTAAAACAAAAGAAATTATTGAGCTAGTGGAATAAGTCTCAGAACAGAATAAAATGTATATATATGAATGGTCGGTGAGTTTTGTCGGGCACCAGGTTTTTGTCACGCGCGTAATCCCACGACGACTGAAACAGATCCCGAGGACTTGGCTGCTGTTCAAACTTTCTTCGTATGCAGTGCCAGTAAATCAAAAACTTAACAAGTTTAAATAATGAAAGCACACTGGTATAAAAAGTTGTTTAGTTTTTTGTGAATGTCGCGTTGATTGAATACTTCATTATTAATTTTAGACGGTATTATAAAATTGAAAAAAAATACTGCACTAATAAAACAATTATTTTAATTCAAGTAAAAAAATCATCTATATTATTAAGAGAATAAGCAAAATTTTTTGGCCAGTGTATTTATATGATAAAATGGGTTTTTATGGTTAAATTTGGTATCATTATTTAAGAATTAACCTGATATCTTGTGAAATATTGAAATTTTTAAAGATATAAGCTCATCCCGACATTACTCTCATCAAGACCTTTCATTTGAGTACCCACATCAATTTTTCGGCATGAGCTTATATCTTTAAAATATATCAATAATTAAGAAGTGAACTCGTGTATCTTTTCAACAACTGACATTTTTAAAAATATAAGCTCATCCCGATGTTACACTTTTCGAGACCTTTCATTTGAGTACCCACATCAATTTTTCATATATTTATATATATTATATATATGTACATATGAAAAATATATCAAAATGCGTGTGGGTACTCAAATGAAAGCTCTTGATGAGTGTAACATCGGGATGAGCTTATGTCTTAGTTATATCTTTAAAATATATCAATAATTAAGAATTTTTTGCTCAAATCAAGAAAATAAAGTTTTTCAAAATTATTTACATGATTCAAATTAATTTTTTTTCTGTCTGTCAACTGCTTAAGACGAAAAATACTTGAATCAGTACAAAATAATTTGATTTTTAGATCAAGTAAATTTTTTTTCAATGCCTAAAAAATTGACATTTATAAATTTATAACGCAATTTTCAAATTACAAAATTAAAAAAAAAAATACTAAATTATAAAGAATAATTTTGTCTTTTAAATCAAGTAATTTTTTTCCAGAATATATTTACCAAAAAAAAAAGCTCACAAATTTTTCCATATATATTTAAATCGCGACATTTGAAAAAACTTATGAATGTCTACATCCTTACTTAGAAAAGCGCGCTCAATGATGACGACAAACAGGCGAGACGGAAAACCGTTGCTATGAGATTCACGACTCGAATCTTGAGCCAAACGAGAAATCGATGTCGACCTCGATACTTCCTCTCTTCTTTCCCTTTTGGTGACACTCTAAAAGCATTCTCGTGGGATTATCACTCGGCAGTCTTCACCTTCTATATATATAAATATATATCTTGGCAATATATCTACCCTACGTATATCAAGCATAGATTTATTTTATGTAGCAGCATCTCCAGTCTATTGGCATCTACTGCAAGTAAATAAAGCTCCTCAATCTTGAGAGCTTCAAGTTCACTCCAATATTTAGCACGTCAGCTCAACTTCCCGCCTCTTATCTTAGTTCATTCAGATGCACAGATGCAGCATTACAACACCATATATATATATTTATATATGGTATATATGTCTTCTTTTGAGCGGAGTAGACTGTAGGGGTAGGAGCTAAGTTACTCTCGAAGTTGTTAAAGCTGCATCAAACTTTCCGTGAGTTTACAGTGGGGATGTTGACACGTTCGGCATCCCAAATTCGAAGAACAAGACGAATTGCGCCTTCAAATTTTATCTACTGTCTAAAATATTCTCTTCTTGAATTATGTTTCTTTGTGTAATTCAAGGCTCATTATTCAGTATTCATTACTTGTATAAATAAATTAGGGAATGAGAAAATTTTTGTCTCTTGCGTATTTAGTATTTATATTATAAAATGAATTAATTAGGTAAATTTCTTTAGAAATCTATCTGTTGTAGCCATTTTGTACTTTTAAAAAAATTTTTTTCATAATATGTTTCTTTTTATTTTATGGAAATAATTTTCAAACCGTGGAAAAAAGCTCAAATTTATCTTAAATTTCATGTAATTACCTTCAATTTATACTACACAGTAAAAAATTTTGTGTTAAAAGTTTTTATGTTAAATAATTTAACACTTTTTCGTGTTAATTTAACAGAATAAGTTGTAAATTTACACATAAGAGTGTTAAATATTTAACACTAAGTTTTTTGAGGTGACGCAAAATTTTTTACTGTGTATTTGTCTAATTTTTAATATTTTTCGAATTTATTCTGCTACTTTAAAAATGTGAAAAAATTTTTCAATATATATATTTCGAGCCTTTATCTTCAAATAATTTCTGAACCTTAAAGATAGCTTAAATCTATTCTATTAAGCGAAAGTTCACATAATTATTTTCAGATTAAGCTTTTACTTGCCCACTTTTGATAATTTTATTTTATTTCTTTGGTAGTTCGGAAAATTAAAAAATAATATTTTTTCTTTAAATTACATATTTTTTTTAATATTCATCCAAGAAATCTACATATCAATATCGGATATAACCAAATGGCGTTTTTTTTTTAGTTAAATCCGCTATAATTGAAGAAGACATCTTCAATTTGTGCCTTTTGAACGTATCATACAATTTTCAGCGATAGTTAATTTATAATGATTATTTTTCTGAGTAATTTTAAACAGATTAGAATTTCAATCTGGATAAAATTTCATTATTTATTTATTTTGATTTTTGTATATTAATATATATCAAATATTAATCCATATAATTAAGAAAACTAACGTACAAAACTTTGCTATCGTTTTTTAGAGAAAAAAAATTTTTTTCTTCTTCAAATGATAGCAGGTATTTTTTCTGCGGGTCTTTTGTCGTGACACCCGATCAAAGAGATCGTAACTTAAATAAATGGGGATGGCTAGCCTTTTTTTTTTTTTAAACAAAAAATTCTGTTGAAGCTTTTAAATTTAATAAGAATAAATTTTGATAATTGTAATTTTTTTTTTTCAAGTGTACTTTACGGAATAACAAAACTAGTATCTTATATGACAAAATACACACATATATAGACACTATTTTAAATTCAACTCATACGAAATCGAAAAAAGTTTTGTAAACTTTTAACCGAGATATTATTTTACAAGTTTTGTTTTTAATTTTATCAATACGAACTACTTTGGATAAACTTTTATTCCAAATTGAATTTACATTATCTTTTCTGTGGGTTATAGTAAAACTTGTCATATTCATATTTTTGAGCAAAAAGCCATCCTGTTGCCGGAAAAAGAGTAAACTTTTTAATGGTTGGTCATTTTATTGTTAAGAAAAATTTATTTCTTCTGCTTTTATATACAAAAAATTTAATTAATTTTTTTAAAGTAAAGATTCAAAAATGACAAGTAAAAAAATTTAAACTTTATTGAATTTCTGTACATTAATATTATGCAGGGTTAAATCATTACCATGTTCAAAACAAAGTTGACAAGTCAAAAGCCAGTAATTTAACTCTGACGCAAAATTAATTAAAATTTCATGATTGTCAAAAACACGCGTGCGTTTCACAAAGCAGTTGGAACTGAATGAAATCCTCCATGAATAGCGATAGGTCTGTCTATAGTTGAGATTTTGCCAGTATAATTATTACCCGAAATCCGTGCTATTCAATTTTGTCTATTCCACGAAAGCTATCGGACACCGAGGGACCAATCAGAGCGGCTTTAAGGATAAAGAAGCTTACGCTTCAGAACTTTAGTCCCGAAATAGTCTGACAATAACTTCCGAAGGCTCAAGGGCTAGATTATTTCTACAGGTTATGGGCTCGGTAATTGCCTGCAAAATTAATATTTTATTGTATAATTGAATTAAATCTGAATATACAATGAAAGAACGACGAAATAATAAAAGCAAGAGCATAATTTAATAAAATTCATCCACAAAAATATAATATGTTCACAGAGTGCAGACAAAGTAGAAACCCACTTGTGCAGGCACGCAATGAAACCATCTAATAGGGAGAAAAACCAAAACCAGCGATGTATTCCATGTGAGTATTCAACAATTTTTATCTAATTAAAATTCAGCTCTGCAATGTTCTAATTTTTTTATGTTAAAATATTTTATTCAATTTACTAAATCTAACTTTGCAAGAATTTTAAAATTGAAAATTAAATAAAATTATGCTTCCTTTAATTGAAATTGTGAAAATTTAAGATTTTAATAATAAATAATAATCAATTTTTTGTAACTTTAATATCAAATTAAAGATAATTGTTCTTTTTGTAAAAATTTACGCTTTAATTAACTTCAATTAAATTTATATTTGCTATTTTTTCTGATAATTTTTTAGTTCCACGGTCATTTGATTTTTTTTTTTTGAATAAAAAATCAAAAAATTAATGTTTTTTTTAATTAATCGATAATCTATATTATCAAGAGAACAATTTTGAAGAGAAAAATTTTGTGGCCAGTGTATTTATATGATAAAATGGGTTTTTATGGTTAAATTTGGTATCATTAGAAAGGTCTTGATTTGAATTTGTGCCTTTTCAAGGTTTCATATCATTCTCACCAATAATCAATATATGATGATAAGTATTTAGGCTGCATTCGAAAATGCTCTATTTCTAGATACATAATTAAGAAATGACCTTGGATCTTGTGAAATATTGACATTTTTACAGATATAAGCTCATCTTGATATTACACTCATCGAGACCTTTCATTTGAGTACCCACATCAATTTTTAATATATTTATGTATATTATATATATATGTATATATGAAAAATATATCAAAATGCATGTGGGTATTCAAATGAAAGCTCTTGGTGAGTGTAACATCGAGATGAGCTTATATCTTTAAAAATGTCAATAGTTCACAAGATAATTCGAAAATTCTCGATCTCTAGATACATGATTAAAAAATTACCTCGTATCTTATAAACTATTGATATTTTTCAAGATATAAGCTCATCCCGATGTTACACTCATCGAGACCTTTCATTTGAGTACCCACATCAGTTTTTTCATATATTTATATATATAACATATATGTATATATGAACAATATATCAAAATGCATGTAGCATCGGGATGAGCTTATATCTTTAAAAACGTCAATATTTAAGAAAGTACAGTGCAATTTTACAAAAGTCATTTTTTAATAAAGCAAAATTTTATTACATAGTGACTGCAAGGTTGCTAGTAATCATGAAAATTTATAAAAATCAATTCTCCAAATAATTTTTTTTCGTGTTAGGCAGTACTAGTGATTTCTTTAATTATATTATACTTAATTATTAATTTTTCAACAAAATTATAATAAATTTTTTCTAATTACTAATTTTTTGACAAAATTACCCATAATTTTTTCCATCTCATAATTTCAAAGACAAATTAGTAGTTCTCCTAATAAATTATTTTAAAAAAATTTTTTGGTTCAAAACTCTCTACTTAATTTAAGACAATTAAATTTTCAAAAATAATTTTCCTACATGATTTTTTTTTTATTAATTTTTGAGTAGCGTATCTAAGCAAAAAAAATCTTGCAAACGAAAAATTGAGGTAAAAACCTCAATAAAAGTTAATTTATAGAAATTATATGTCTATATAATAAAAGTATAAGTATATAGATGCAATAATGAGGTTGGAAGAGTTTACATCAACAAGTGGCGTTTCTATCCGACATTTCTCTAAAACGCAAAACCAATTAAGAGAAGTTAATTACACGGGCGATTGTTCGCGCCCCTTCCCAGAGAAGCTTTGAAGACGTTGCTCTATAATAATAACACGCAAAAGGTTTTCCTCGGTCTTTCTCCGACGTACAACTATATAGTTATCTATATGTGTAAGTTCGCCGTAGATCGCTAACTGAGAAACCTTACTTTTGGAAACGAGTCAATTTACGCGAGTACTAAACAAAGCCCTGGCATTAGTGTCATTCAGGGCAAAGAAAAAAAACGCGGGTTAGAGAACGAAACTAAAAAAATGAAACCTGGGGTAGATGATTATCTCGGGTCGTCGTTCGTTGTATGTCAGTAATTTATTGCCGCCCACGAGGGGTATCATTATCAGACCTTACTTTGTTTTCACAATTATCAATATCTTGTTATTTATTGTTCATTGTTTGATATATAAATTGATATTAATCGTTGTTTTTTTTTTTTATATTATTTGACAGACGACTACAACAGAGTTGTGCTGGATACGATAGAAGGACAAACAGACTCCGATTATATTAATGCCTCTTACGTAGACGTAAGTACTTATTTCAATTACGTAAGATTTTATTCCTCAATAAGATTACTTAATATTGTTATTATTCATTGCATTTATCATTTGTGGATTAATTTATTGATTGTGCTTTATTGTTTGATAATTATGTAATTTTTGATAGTGACAATTTTGAATTAACTTGGAATTATTCATATTATTAAAAAAAATTAATATTAATGTTTTTTAAATTTGAAATTTTTTTTTGCACTGATAGAAAACTATTTTTGATTCAGGAAAAAAAATTTCTTGAAAAAAAAATTTTTTATCTTTAATTTTGTTATCTTGAATCAATGTTTCCATACCTTCAGTCAGTAAATATTGTTGTAGACCATCAAGATAAAATCTTCAGTCAGTACTGAAAATTCTACAACTAACAATTCTCAAAAATTAGGAGAAACATTTTTTGGCTTTAAAAAACTTAAGATTCTTTTTTGAAAAGTATTTAAGAGTTTTTTTAATGGAATAAAAAGTAGGAAAAATTTGTTAGATATAAATGCACTAAGAAAAAAAATTATAGAACCCAGATAGTAATTTTATAAAGCTTTTTGATTTAAGTAAATTTCAAACAGTAAAAACGTGATTTTAACAATTACTTTATAATATTTATCATTTAAATGTTACAATTTATTCTTTACATGGAAGAAAATACTATTTTAAACAGTAGTATTCGCTATGTGAAAGTCCAAAATGTTAAAGTATATTAATTAAGAATTTTGACTTTGATTTTTATTATTTCGTACCTAAAAAATGATCGCATTATATCTAAAAAATATAAACTACTGTTACTAAATTTCTCTACTAGCAACGTCAATATTTACAAAATACAAATGGTAAATTTTAAACGCAACGCTAAAAATCAAACTATAATTATTGATTTGCTTGGACTGGTAAAATGTATATTTTAAAAGTATAATTTTTACTGTTTCAAATGTTAAATTCTCCGAGTGAGACCTTTCTCTTCTCATAGTATAGACTATATATTGAAACGGCAATTTTCACTGTTTGAAACTGTAATTTTTTAAGATGAGAGAGTCGTTATTCACTGTAGTGACAGCTACTAATCACATTTTCGATATTAAATTATAAATTGTGGCTTTTACACTTTCTACAATAAGTTTTGTAATATCGACGGTCTAATTAGCAATTTGTCTAATTCCATATTTTTTAGAGGGTGATTTTTTAACATTTTGATGTAGCCATAATCGAATTATAAATTATTTGAATGATTCAAACCTGAATATTATATCTCTATTAGATAATAATTATATAAAATGGTTTTTTAAAGTGATAATAAATTTTTAACTAATTGTACTTTTCGTACAAATAGAAGATTCTCTAAAATGGAGTTAGATAATTTGCTAATTAGAACGTCGATATTTATATTTATGCCACCCCGATGTCCGCTGTACTGTTTGAAACTATAAAAATTAACCGGAATTCAAGTGAATTTCACAGTTTGCTTTTTTCCGTGTATAGTTAACTTTCTTAAACTTTATAAAGTTCATATTAAAAAATTCCTTTAGTTCTGTATAATTTAATTAAGGTTATGACTAAATTTTTTGAAATATTTCTTCTGTTTAAAAATATATAAATTATTGATTTTTGCAAACATTAAATAATTTATTACCGTTTACCAGAGAAACAATAAATTCCATCAATTGGATCATTTATTTATGCGTGATGCAATAATTAATAATTAATGATAATAATAATGATAAATTGATATTACAATTAATGCATAAATATTTGATTATAATTACAGAGTTTACTGAAACCAAACGCCTACATCGTGACTCAGGGACCCATAGAAACGACAGTAACTGAATTTTGGCGAATGGTCTGGCAAGAGCGAGCATCCTGTATCGTTATGTTAACCAAAACATTTGATTTCATAAAGGTAGGACATAGAATAAAACCAGAACCGCTTTTAACAACTAACAGAACTCATTAAAACTGTTTAACGTCAATTTAAAATGTAAATTGAACTAAACACTGGGATTGGAAACATAAATTTATGTTATGATGATGAGGATCGCGATCGGTCATACAAATATTCGCGTCCAGATACATTTCCATTATCAATACACCAGGAATGTGATGTTTCGATTTACACGACTGTTGTCACGAGTGGGCTCCTGTCGATTACGACTGTGAAAGTGGACCGGATGACAATGACAGAGCGAGAGCCAATCGAATGTCTGATAGATGGTACATCGAACCTGATTGACGTAACACCTTGTATGCTGATGATTAGTCGAGCATTAATTCTCGACTGTAGTGTCTCTAAATGGGCTACCCTCCTGATGTACGCGCACTAGACAATACACAATATATAATACATATTATATTGAACGCCAGTCATCTCATCGTTATTTAGCTATCGCTGTCCACATAATGCGCAATTGTATAATCTACAATTCTACATTTCTACTGGCGACCGATTAATTTGCAACGCTAATTGATGTTTAGTAGCTCTTTGCTTATGTAGAGTCGAGTTTGGAGAAAATTTATTAGTGAGGGCTGCTAGAAATGTTTCAATCAAAATTTATAGAAGGAAATAAACCAAATATTGACCCGGCAGTATAAAAATTTGATTTTAAAAAAATTTAGTGGTTTATTTTTATATTCAGGATATAATTATTAAGTTTTGATTATAATTGAAATAAAAATTTGCGTATACATAATTATTATTCACAATTTCTATCAATATTTTATTTAATAATCTATATTATTAAGAGAATAAGAAAAATTTTGTGTCCATGATATTTATATGATAAAATTAATTTTTTTAGTGAAATTTAGTGTCATTGAAAAAATCTTGATTTGAATTTGTGCCTTTTCAAGGTTTCATGTCATGCTCACCGATAGTCAATTTATTAAAAGTATTTAGGCTGCATTCGAAAATGATCTATCTCTAGATACATAATTAAGAAATAACCTTGTATCTTGTGAACTATTGACATTTTTAAAGATATAAGCTCATCCCGATGTTACACTCATCAAGACCTTTCATTTGAGTACCCACATCAATTTTTCATATATTTATATATATTATATATATGTATGTATGAAAAATATATAAAAATGCATGT